AAAATCTGTGGTATACCAGTGCACTATCTCATCCATTGAGAGTCCTAACACTGATAGGATATACATAGGCTCAACAAAGAATAATTTTAAAATTAGATGGAGGCAACACAAGAGCTCCTTCAACAATATTCAAAATAGAAATCAAACATCTCTATCCCAATATTTCTGGCATCTAAAAGAAACGAATAAAACACCAAAAGTAAAATAGAAAATAATAAATAAAACAAGAACCTGTAAAACCCGGGATGACCCATGTCCTTTATGCTTACAGGAAAAACTACACATCATTAAATTTCTAAACAATGAAAAATTATTAAACCATAGGCAGGAGTTAACGGTTTTTTGCCGACATCAACAAACTTTCGCATTAAATAATTAGCATATAAAAAAAAAATTAAAAAATCCCATAGCTAAGTAAAATTCTTAAAAGCAAAGCCAAATCATTAAATAGGAAAAACCCTTTTTGTAGTCGTCAAAAAACAAATTGAAATTCAGTGCAATGCGATCTGTATATAAAACACCCACTTGAATAAACAAATAAATAAATAGATAATCAGATGGACAATAATAAAAGACAATTCCCCAGACACATAACGATTGTAGGCGCGCCATAAAAATATCCCTCACTGGGAACTAACTAAAGGGTGACCGCAAACATTAGCCTTGAAATAGATACCCTACTCAACCTTAGCAAAACCTCTTAGAAAATGATGAATCTATTGATAAGAATTAACTCTCTGACCACTTAACGAAGGAAAATAGTCTAGCCACTCCCACAATAACGAATTCTGTAACAGAACGGGCCTAAAAATACACGTAAACCGACAGATAGCTTATTCTAAAATTTCGCTTGAAGATGAAACGGGACTAAACACCACAATCCAACTTAATTTTAATAATTATTTGGATATTTCGGCTCTCATTTTTGAAACATGAGAACTCTTATGTAGCGAAGGAATCATATTTTTAAACAATATATACATATATATATATATATATATATATATTATAAGAGATAAAAGCAAAATCATGTTAAAATTCGATACACAATAGCAATCGTCTTTCAACCTGGATATATATATATATATATATATATATATATATATATATATATATATATATATATAGAGAGAGAGAGAGAGAGAGAGAGAGAGAGAGAGTGTAGAAATTGAGTGTGAGAAAAGTCTATTGAAAAGTGATGGTGTGTGTGTGTGCGAAAGATGGAGAGATAGAGAAAGAGACAAAGAGAGAGTAATGCTTCTGTACGTTATGCATTGTTTAATGAGCCCGCATTAAATATCTCGTCATATGTGTAAAAATATAACAAACATTGAACCTTGTATTGACCAAACCATCCGTCTATCCAAATTCAACTGTTCCAACCTCGGCCCATTCTTCCAAACGATCCATATTTCAACTTCTTTTATCCATCAGTCTCCGCATCTTGGTTCTTGATACAGAAACTGATAAATGATTTATTATCGATACTCATATCAACACGCGGGCAATGATTGATGGCCAAACCTTCGATGCCTGTATATAAGAAGAAGAGAGATCTACATGGTGTGAAAAGCATTCTTTCAATCCATCTCGAGTCGTATACAGAACAGTTAGCAAGAGGTCGCCATACAGATTTTTACTCAAGTCTCTATATTGTTAGCGAACACCTCAAGCCAAAACACATTTCTCCTATTCAGTCCGCATATTTGCTCGACCCAAAACTATCGGTCCCCACATACCTGAACTCTAAAAATGCCATTCTTTCTCTACTCGAGGCGAGGAAATCGGAAATAAGCAACTTCCCAACGCACTTTCCATGCCTTTGACTGGTTCCAGAAAGTGTATCCGGATATTCAGGAAGTGTGGAAAAGGAGAACCGGATAGAGCGTGTAGCTTTGCACAAGGCCTCAAAGGTTCTCAGAGCTGCTGTATTTCTACTGATCAAACGATAGAGTCTTTTGAGAGAGACGGCGGGGAAATTGAACGCTATTCCGAAAGCCAACAAAACAAGCAACATTCAATGGCCGAATACGAATAAACTTATAAATGCGTTACTGTAAATTAGAAGCAGCCGACACCTCCCGCCATTTGATCACTGATGGAAGGTTCATGTCGTCTGCTTCTTTCAATATCAACTTGCTGCACTTCTCTCTCTTTATCCTGCGCTCCCACCAGCTGTTTTTGCAGGATAATCGTAGCTCGAAACTGACAATATGCTTGTGAATTAGATTTGAAAAGAAATGAGTTAATCTACAAGTGCAAAATTGTCGGTTAAGTCTGTCCGCATGGATGAAGACTTAATATGTCGGATGGCGTGAAAGGTAGAGCATCAATAACACTAAGGAAAATATTACCTTTCAACAGGTTCACTTTTGTCGTTTCGGAATTCTTCGGCGTCTTTCTCCCTTGCGTACGTGAATTTGCACAAGGTGTCGCTTTATGGTAAACCCTTCGTTACCGGTTGAAATATAATATCTCAGTTTTTATCTTAATATTATGCAGACCAGAGAGCGTGTCGATCAAAATTGAGTAGTAGTATATAGGTTTGCCTATCGTCCTGTTCACGCTCCTCCGCGGTCTTTTGAACAGAAATAGAGGTTTCTTATTTACTATTGGGTTTCCGGTTCCGTGTAAAGGTTTGTTTTTCTTTTGTTTCACTTCTAGCAGAGCCTTGCGTCTTAGTGACATTATCGCCTTGCTTGGAGTGAAATGATAGAGAAAAAGAAAGAGAGAGAGAAGAAGAAATGGTGTATAAAATTGATGGTATTTATCAATCCACCCACGGGGATCGAATGTGGCACAAGGCCTTTTTAATGTGGGCATCTCTGGTTCCCGTAGGCCCAGCCAAAAATAAATAACCATCAAACCCGCCGAGGCAGGCCAGTTCCGTCAACCTCCCCCAACGAAACCCTACCCTTCGGCGGAGCTTCGTCCGGGTTCCTTCCTGCAAGCAGAGAGTTCGACAGACACCCGACCCGGCAGCTCACAAAGCGTAGATACTACACTTTGATCTTAGCCACCGGGCCGAGCGGGTATTCTTTTTAGAGATACGGTATATGGTGTATAAAATTGATTCGTACAGAACTTAATAACAATTTCATGAACATGATGATCAAAACAAAAAGGATAAGGATAATCGTCCCCACGTCCCCGGTCTTTATATCATCTTCGATCTTTCTTACAGAAACACACACAGAAATACTTACGAATACAGACACACAAAGAAACACGTAAACACACACGAACGCACACACATATATATGGAGAAACGCAACAACATACAAAGTGAAAATATATCTCTCACTCTTTCTCTCTATACCTCTTCCTGTTCTATATATCTGTCTCAGTCTGTTCATATCTATCTACCTATCTATATATCTATTTCAGACTGTTCATATCTGTCTGTTCATTATCTATTTGTCTTCCTGTATTTTCATTATCTATCTAGCTATCTAAGACTGATTATATCTATCTATCTAGCTAGCTAGCTAGCTAGCTATCTCAGTCTGTACATTATCTATCTATCTATCTATCTATCTATCTATCTATCTATCTCAGTCTGTTCATATCTATCTATCTGCTTGTCTCGCTTTTGCAATCATCAGATTTATGCATACATATATATATATATATATATATATATATATATATATATATATATATATATAGAGAGAGAGAGAGAGAGAGAGAATAAGGATAGAATCTCCGGTTGACGCCAATTCAACTGAGTTTCGACCCTGGCTAGAGGCAACCGACGTCTAACCACACTGATGAGCCGTGATACAGCAAATATTCTGTCTGTGAGTGATAATATATATATATATATATATATATATATATATATATATATATATTGCCATATGAGGATGACAATATATATATATATATATATATATATATATATATATTGTCATCCAGAGACAGTTTCGTTGTATCACAGCACATCAATCTATATATTCCCTTATGACAATGATATATATATATATATATATATATATTCTCATACGTGTATATATATATATATATATATATATATATATATATATATATATATTTATCCACAGGCAGACTGTTTCGCTGTATCACAGCTCATCAGTATGGCTAGACGTCCGGTTGCTTCTAGCTAGGATCGAAACGCGGCTGAATTGGAGATGTTGGCACACGGCAGGAATGAAATTGAATTTAAGCTTATATATTTTTAGATAAACACACAGTGACTGAGAGAACTCGATTCGCTTTGCACTCTTGCATTATCAGCAATAATAGTCACTACTTATAAACTCACACTTCCTCCCCAGAGAGCTCAACCGAAATAAATTTTTCAGGAGCATGTGAATATATATATATATATATATATATATATATAGGTACATCTAAAGATATGCGACTCCTAAGGTTTAAAATGTATTTTTAAAAACGAAATTGTTGGATTTTGCTAGCATTTTGGTATTTTTTGTGAGTAACTGTCGAATGTTACATCTTTATGCTGCTTATTGGTGTGTTGTCTGATGGCACTTTGTTTCGATGGTAGCAGATGAGTCTCTGTGAAGGTGTGGTTGTGGTAGATCCTATACAAGACGTAGACTCACTTGTCATAGATTTTGGACAATTTCAGTTGGAATTTCAGCCTTATCCGAGAAGGATAATTTGTAAAAGTAGATCAGCAAATTACTCAACACTAAACTTCTGTTTTCTTTAATAACATTTGCCTTAAAGAACATTTGCTGCCTAAATATACATTCTATATATATACTGACAAAAAACATACATAGGCATATCCGCTGGAAATAGGAAACAAAGACTATACACTGCGTGCCAAATTATTATCGTGATAACTTTTTTTCTAATATTTCAAAAACCGTCCAATCAATTCACACAAAATTTTCACTCAATGTTGGCAACACTGTCCTGCGCAATCACTGAAATTTTCGTACTGATCTGTGCAATGTAAACAAACTGGCGCCATATTTGTTATCAGCACGGTGATTTGAGCGTGCCACATTATTAGAAAGGTTTAGTAAAATTCCCAGAATTGAGCAAACAAAACGTTTATTAATGTTGCACGTGAATGTTTATGATCAAAAGAAGCTAATAAATAAGATAATCAAACAAATAATAACAGATACAAAAAAAGGCACAGTTTTAAACAAATTAATAGGGAATGTGCTTTCCCTGTTTTGAAATTACTTGAAGAAGTCGACGACCCATAGAATTTGTTAATTGTAGGATGTCATCTGCTGTAATGCCGCGAGAAAAAATTCTCGGGTAGATTTACCTTTTGAGAGTTCTGAGGTAATAGTTTTCTTTTCAGTTTTCTTAAACTGCTTTTACGGCCCATCTTTTCACTAAATTCTTATACTATTCTAATAACTTGGCAGGCTCAAATCACCGTGCTGATAACAAATATAGCGCCAATTTGTTTACATTGGGCAGATCGGTACGAAAATTTCAGTGATTGCGCAGCTCAGTGTTGCCAACATTGTGCGAAACTTTGTGTAAATTGATTGGACGGTTTTTGAAATATTAGAAAAAAGTTATCTCGATAATAATTTGGCACGCAGTGTATACTCACCGACATTCCTTTTCCAATGCTTCCTTGAGACATCAAACTGTTCAGTCCAAGCATTATTGGAAAATTAAAGAAAAAATAACGTGATACAGTGGTTAGCAAACGTGTCTGGGTAGTGAGTTCGATCCTCACTGGGTGCCCCTTTCTTTCAGCCTTGTGCCACATCTAAGCTACGCTTAGAAAATCATACAGAGCTAGATATACAGGCACACGGAGACAATCATGTTTTTATAACGAATTTTCAACAATTTAAACGGTGTACAGGAATTATTACAGCCAACACGCTCTCCGGCCTTCCTAACATATCTGAAGTTTCGAGCTGAAGTAATGCAATTTATCCAAGAGTTCGCAGTAATATTTTTATCTTTGTTTCTTGGAAATGTTAAAGCCGACCTACTCTCTGGCCTTCGTCATATTGTTGGATGTTGCGAGATAAAATATTAATCATATCACTAGATAAAGTATTGGGATGAATATTTGAAACATGTCCCAACAATTAGATAGATAGATAGATAGATAGATAGATAGACAGATAGATAGATAGATAGATAATGAAAATACAAAGAAAGAAAGAAAGAAAGAAAGAAAGAAAGAAAGAAGGAAGAACGAGAAACATAGATGAAACATAGATAGATAGATTTACAGAGATTTAGATATGATATGACAAAAAGAAAGAAAGAAAAAAGAAAGAAAGAAAGAAAGAAAGAAAGAAAGAAAGAAAGAACTGGCATAGATAGATAGATAGATAGATAGATAGATAGATAGATTATACAGAGATTTAGATTATGAAATGACAAAGAAAGAAAGAAAGAAAGAAAAAAAAGAAGAAAGAAAAAGAAAGAAAAAGAAAAGAACTGAGAAAGAAAGAAAGAAAGAACTGGCATAATAGATAGATAGATAGATAGATAGATAGATAATGAAAATACAAAGAAAGAAAGAAAGAAAGAAAGAAAAGAAAGAAAGAAAGAAAGAAGAGAAAAAGAAAGAAAAAAGAACGAGAAATAAAGCAATAATTGACATAGATAGATAGATGTAAACAGACTTACAAAGAAAGAATGAAATGACAAAGAAAGAAAGAAAAGAAAAGAAAGAAAGAAGAGGAAAAAGGAAAGGAAAAAAAAGAAAGAAAGAAAGAACTGGCATAGATAGATAGATAGATAGATAGATAGATAGATAGATAGATAGATAATGAAAATATGAAATGACAAAGAAAAGAAAGAAAGAAAGAAAAAGAAAGAAAGAAAGAAGGAAAGAAGAGAAAAGAAAAGGAAAAAAAAGAACGAAAGAAAGAAAGAAATAATTGACATAGATAGATAGATAGATGTAAAATACAAAGAAAGAAAGAAAAGAAAGAAAGAAAAGAAAGAAAGAAGAGAAAAAGAAAGAAAAAAAGAACAGAAATAAAGCAATAATTGACATAGATAGATAGATGTAAACAGACTTACAGAGATTTAGATTATGAAATGACAAAGAAAGAAAGAAAGAAAGAAAGAAAGAAGAGGAAAAAGGAAAGGAGAAAAAAAGAAAGAAAGAAAGAACTGGCATAGATAGATAGATAGATAGATAGATAGATAGATAGATAGATTTACAGAGATTTAGATTATAAAATGACAAAAAAGAAAGAACTGGCATAGATAGATAGATAGATAGATAGATAGATAGATAGATAGATAGATAGGTAGGTGTATCTTTATTTTAATTGTTCTGGTTAAATCTCGAAAGCCATTGGAATATGGTTTCGAAGAGAATCAAATAAACAAAAGTCATTGAAAGCGATTGTCTACACGTTCATTAAATCCATGTCTGAATTTACCGACTCAGCGAAATGATTTTTAGTCGAGAAACGAAAATGCAATGTCATGACATATGTTCATGTGTCGATCTACAATAACTTCACCAAATATAAGAACATACAGACTTTTCTTTTTCATAGATAAGCAGAAAAGGGAAATGGAATCCTTTTTCACGAAGGAACCCTCGAGTAAAATTGACGACTCAGACGATTTTATTTATATTCCTCGCGATACGACATATTTTCTTCTGCCAGTAACACTTTGTGGTCTTTAATGGGATTGGACATTTGTGTATATTTCTCGATGATCGTTTCCTTAGTCAATTTGTTTTATTATTATTATTATTATTATTATTTATTATTATTATTTTGTCTGGATCGCCTATATATGGACAGAAAATGAACTGAGTACAAATGCAGTTTTAAAAAAGCGGCCTGTAAGATAAATATGGATCTTGTCAATGGATTTATTTAACCTTCTGCAGTGAGGTTATTCTATGGGAACCAGAAGTCTTGTCGGGATTTTTTCTAATGCATCATCTTAACAACGGCAGATAATAATGTGTTGAGAAAGACAAGTTGCTGCAATTTGTAGAATAAAGGAGAGCTGGAATAAAGGACTAACTATCGGTGAATGTATAGTCGCCAGCAAGAGGAACAGCTGAAAGCGCAAGCTACGAATTGGAGATAGGATATATATATATATATATATATATATTGATGCATGTTTCATTAAATAATATACACAAGTTTTGTGCATTTATTTTATGCAAATTGCTGCCTAAATACACACAATGCATATATATATATACATATATATATATATATATATATATATATATATATATATATATATATATATATATATATATATATGTGTGTGTGTGTGTGTACTAGGTGGAACAGCAAAATTGTCCAATTGTTAGATTAGGCTTTGAAGCGTTGTATCTTAGAAATGATTAAAGATATCTTACTGGAATTATACAAGGTTTTTATAACACTATTGGGCTCTACTTTGAGCAATAAGAAAGTAAAATTACTCTCCAGGCTTCACAGAAGAATCGTGATGAAATCAATCAGAACGACAGATTCTTTAAAGTTTGATTCAGTAATGGTTGATGATTTAATAAAATGATTTTGACTATTTCTTACATTCTGTTCATAACTAACAATCTCATTCTTTTCATATCTATCTCATTGTGTTTACATGTATATACCTATCTGAATATATTTATATATATATATATCGATCTATCTCATTCTTTTCATATCTATCTCAATATGTTCATATCTATCTATCTCAATATGTTCATATCTATATATCTATCTATCTCATTATGTTCATATCTGTATGTCAATATGTTCATATCTATATGTCAATATGTTCATATCTATCTATCTATTTATCTATCAATATGTTCATATCTATCTCAATATGTTCATATCCATCTATCTCAATATGTTCATATCTATTTCAGTCTGTTCATATCTAATTAGGTAGCTAGCTAGCTCATCCTGTTCTATCTATCTATCTATCTATCTATCTATCTATCTATCTATCTCTATCTATCCTGCATTCATATCTATCTATCTATCTATCTATCTATCTATCTATCTATCTATCTATCTATCCTGATCTATTTTCATATCTATCTATCTATCTATCTATCTATCTATTTCAATCTATGTAGCTAGCTAAGGAGCTCATTCTGTTCTGTTTATCTCATCACGTACATATTTATATATAGAGGATGCGGCAGAAAAACCTCCCACACATACTACCCAGACATTCCTCCTACATAATTGTAAGTATATATGGGAGATATTACCCAGTGTGTGTGTATATATATATATATATATACTCGACTCTCCCGTCGAATTCGACGTATGAGGGTGAAGCAGACCAGTTCGCATGAAACCGACAACAGCACATGAGATTAGATTATATTGGTGAAGATTTCGTGCAGGACCATCCACACTTTTTGAAGGCCCGAATACAGAGACCTGGTGCACACAAGTGGCACAAGGTCCCTAAACGACCCTCCGCAGGTTTTGAATTCAAAGTTGTCCTTCTCCTAGACCAGTGGACATCCAAGGCTATAGAACCCTGTCTGCCCTGTTATTTACCCATAGCTGGAGGGAGAAGAAGAGGATGCTCACCTTCCCCAAAGGTATTAGCACGTAAGTGAATGGAATGGTTATATACGGCTAAAGAAAAGCAATAACTAATTTTAGCATGACATTAGTGTCTTCAATTAGCTGATGTCATACCATTATGCCGGGGGTATTTCTGGGAGGTATATATGAGAAGTTTTCCTACCGCACCCTGTATATAGATAGATAGATAAACAGTACGAGATAGATAGATAGATAGATAGATAGATAGATAGATAGATAGATAGATAGATAAACAGTACGAGATAGATAGATAGATAGATAGATAGATAGATAGATAGATAGATAGATAGATAGATAGATAGATAGATAGATAGATAGATAAAAACAGTACGAGATAGATAGATAGATAGATAGATAGATAGATAGATAGATAGATAGATAGATTAAATGGCAAATTCTTTAAATACCTATAATAATATTGGGATGTTGGAATTGCTGGAATCTTCTGAAATAGAACTTTGCTAAAATGGGTTGATTGATCGTTTGATTCCAAGATATAAAACACGGATCAAGCTCCACCCACCAAAGTCAGACGTAGCATTACCAAAGTTGGGTAAATTTGTTGCTGCTAAACTCTGTAGTCTTTGGAGATTTCGATCAGTCAGGACCTTGGAAGATTGACTGGTTTTTGGGTGGTTTAGGATAAGATCGGATATTGATTTTTTAAAACTTGTGAGAAAGAAAGAAAGAAAGAAAGAAAGAAAGAAAGAATTGTACAGGGAAAGAATTAATTAAAAAAGGAGGTTGATAATATATGGAATGAAAAGAATAATGAAAGAATAAATGCAAATAAAACAAGAAGGAAAAAGAAAGAGAATTGAAAAATAAGGAAAGAAAGAAAAAGAAAAAGAATGGTAATGCAACGGAGGGGAAGAGATGGGAAAAGAATAGGAAGAAAGCAAGACGAGACAAGAATGAGAATTGAGAAAGATAGAAGAAATTAAAAAAAGCGGGAAAATATGATAAAAAAGAAAGAAAGAAATGACCGACATAGATAGATAGATAGATAGATAGATAGATAGATAGATAGATAGATAGATAGATAATGAAATGACCGTGAAAGAAAGAAAGACAGAAAGAAAAGGAAAGAGAATAGTCTATTTTTAGCTTGTGAAATTTTATGATCGTTTAATGGAGAACTGAAATATTTTTGAAGCTGGCTTTTTTCGTTTTTCCTCAAAAGTTTTCAGCAAAGATAAAAATCTCATTGATATATTTGGCGCAAATTGTGGGTTAATCGAGGTTTTTTAATATGAAATTTCCTAGACATGTACTAATTGTAAAATATCGGCCCTAATGTAGATCCTATTGAATTAGTATCACTTTCGGTTCAGATGTTGTTCTCATAGAAAGGGGGACAAGTAGTAGTATTAGTAGCTAACAGTGTGGAAGATTTGATCTTCGTATAAAAAGAAGAAAGAATGCAGCATACAAATTGAAATGTGACGCCTATCATGTCATCGAACTAGGACATTTGGGGAAGAGATTTTCATCGCCAGACGGAAATAAAATACTGTTGCTAGTTTGTTTTTTTTAGGTTTTACACAATATAGAAGTATTGGCAGAACCGCGGCTCGGGAGCCACATGCGGCTCGGGAGCCACATGCGGCTCGGGAGCCACATGCGGCTCTTTTTAATATGCGGCTCGTAAAAATATATTAACTGAGATCTTTTTTCATCACAGTCAATATAAAATGTAAATACGAAAAATTTCTATCTTTGTAAATGTTTACTAAGATCCCATTGAATTAAAAGCTAAGTTTAATGTTCGTGGTTAATAAATATTATTCAGAATCTAAATCCTAATTGTAATGCTACATCTGAATGAGGCGTTGTTCTTTAGCGCTGAGGAAATGAATGATGGGAGGCAGAGGAATTAAAGAAATTTACAGTCAGTAAGTGTCACAGAGCAATTTCAGAAGACCGATGCATGAATAATAGGACTGCACACCCTTCATGTGCATATATATGTTATTGAAATGCAAATTTGCACATCTTTCTTAGACATTTTCGTCGTTCATTACGTATTAAATACTCTCAATATAGTTAAAACAATCATAAGTTAAGATTTTGAAAACATTTGGTATAAATATACATATATATTAATTGCACATTATTAAGCTTCTAAATAATAATAATCTATTAAACACTAGACATGATTTAACGGTTTTTTGTCGACATCATCAGATTCATGGCTTGAATAATTAGCTAAAAACAAGCATACAATATAATAACTTTCATAATCCATAGCCCAAATAAATAGTTTAAATAGCCTACAAAAAAGATAACCCTTTATGAAGTCGTCAAAAAACAAACGTTACGGCAGTTTTTTTATATGCACAATCCCCTTTCATAAAAAAATAAAATAAAAAAAATAAATAAATCTCCATAGACACGCCAACCAGACTAGGGTTAATACATGTTCCGTTTCAAATTTAGACACCCCCACCTTTCCCTGACTTGTCATCTATGAAAGTAACTCTATACTGATACTTATTATTAACACCCAACACACGCCTACCCAATTTAAACAATTCGCCCTAGCTGTTACAATGGAAATTTTGATTTCAATTATTAAAACACGTAAATTTCAGAAATACGTTATTCAAAAAAAAATTTCGCTTGAAGATGGAACAGAGCTTACTTTAACTCAATTTAATTCAAATAATTATATTGAAGTTTTCGGCTCTTGTTTTTGAAACATGAGACCTCTTATGTCGCGAGTTGGAATCATATTTTAAATAAATAAATAATATATATATATATATATATATATATATATATATATATATATATATATATATGGGGGTTAGTGGGTTTGTTAGGAACCAGAAAATAAAGACACAAAGAGAGGAATTGAGTTAAACAAATATATTAACAGAAACAGTAATACAAACATATACAAACGAGAGTGTTACAGCAAGAATGTTCAGTCCGACTGTCAGAGCTGACTGCTGGAAA